TACCAGAAACAGCAGCGTTCATAAATGACTTACAGCCTGTGAGAACACAAGAACCACCGACATGTAAAGCAGAACAAAACCCACTGACATGGAGCTGGAAGCATAAAGGTTCGGAACATACCAGGCAGTTCGGCTCTCCCAGATGAAGTAGGGAAACAAAAACACGATGTATTCGGGTTTCAAAGAACACAAAAAGGCTCAAATACAGCTATACGGGTTCTTTTCACATTAAACAAAGTCTATTTACTTCATCTCTTGTTTTGTTTTCGGCTGTCGAAGCACAATTTACTACATTTCTGCCTCCTCCTAACTGTAAACGGCTCAGCTTCTTCTTCTTCAGCCATCCAGGAAATTGACCATTATGCATTGCGAACAGTCTTCTTCTTCTTCTTCTTCTTCTTCTTCTTCTTGTCTTTTTATGGCGGTTGGCAAACAGCTTAAGGTGCATTACCGCCACCTTCTGGATTGGAGTATGGACAAGATTCTAAAAAAAAAAAACAACTAAATCCTTTCCAAATTCCCTGTTCTTCTCAAAAACCTAAAGATGCTGTTAAAATTTATATCCCCAGACGATCTTTGCAGCAATTCCTTTATCTCTAATTTAGTTGTATTTAATTCTCTTTTTAACATTTCTCTTTCGTGTGTATATTTATTGTATTCCATGAAAATGTGTTCTATTGTTTCTGTTTGTCCACAGTGATTACAACAACCTGTATCATGTTTGTTAATTATTTTCAGTGTGCTGTTTAATCCCGTGTGCCCAAATCTCATCCTCGATATTATATCTTCTTCTTTCTTTATTCTATTACCTTTCCTTGAGTCCCCAACTGTTTTCTGGATGCTATAATAATACCTAGCACTACTTTCTCTATCCCATTGCTCTTGCCATTTATTTTTACAATATAGTTTTATTATATTCTTGACCTCACTTTTACTTATTTTAATATTTAAATCCACGTTGGGTTTTTTTGCAGCATTCTTAGCAAATTTGTCCGCCAATTCATTTCCTACAATCCCAATGTGAGCTGGAATCCATAATAATTTGACATCAGACCCATTACTTTTAATCCTGAAAATTAATTGAGTTATTTC